CCCAGGCTGGACTTGAACTCCTGGACTCAAGCGATCCTCCTGAGTAGCTGGGACTCTTGGCGCCTACCACTGCGCTGATAATTTTTGTTTTGTAGATACCGGATCTCACTATGTTGCTCAGGCTGGTCTTGAACTCCTGGCTTCAAGCAATCCTCTCGCGTCCGCATCCCAAAGTGCTGGGATTACAGGCGTGAGCCACCACACCTGGCCCTGTGGCTGCTTTCTCTACTATAAGGGGCACAATTGAACAGTCAAGACAGAGACCAAATGGCCCGTAGAGGTGGTGACATCGACTCTCTCACCCTTACAGAAACCCTGTGTCTTCTGTGGAAGCAAAGAGTTATTAAAGAGAAAAAATGAAAAAAAAAAAAAAAGTGTGTCAACCCCTGGGCCAATGATATCTTATCATCTGTCTCCCCTACCAGCTGCGGGCAGGAATTTTTCCCTTGTGTTCTCTGCTGGAACTCCAGCTCCTGGCACACCGGCGGTGCTCATAAATGTTTGTCAAATGAACGGGGAGAGAATTCAGGGGACAGGACCTAATTTCGAGGCGGGCAAGCCCCCCTGGGAGCTAGTGCCCTGGTGTCCACCATGCACCAGGGTTTGGGCCTCACCCAGCTCGTCCCAGAGCTGCCGGCACTTGTCCGTCATGCCTGCACCCTGCTGTCGCCAGAGGGCCAGGCGTGGATCCTGCAGGAACTGCTCGGTCATGAGGATCAGCATGCGTGCCCCGTTGGAGTCCCTCATTCGCAGCATCTCCCGCACCTGTGCCGGGGACAGGGCGGTGAGGAAGGGGTGGGACGCCGACGCCGGGGTCTTCTGAGACCCGGGCCCCGCCGGCCGCGCACAGCACCTTGCTGAACATGGAGCGCAGCTGCTGGCTGGCCCCGTAGTAGCCGCCGTTGGACAACAGCTGCTTCACTTGCTCCTGAATCTGCTCCTCGTCCAGGTGCCAGCAGTTGGCATCCTCAATGCCCGCACCTGCCGTGGGGTCTGGGGCACCTGTGGGGAGGGAGGGACAGAAAGTGGAGGCCGGGACTGGGCTTGGGGTGGGGAGAAGAGGTGTCTGTATTCATTCCTCCAAATCACCCAAACCATTCCAAAGTTCCGTCTTCCCCACCTACACACCACTCCCCCACCTGTCCATCTCACCCAAACATCCACCCAACCATCCATCCATCCACCCAACCATCCATCCATCCACCCATCCTGCCCCAAACATCACCAGCTCATTCATCCATTGACTCATTTTTCATTTTAGTTATTCAGCCAATCCATTCATCTCTCTCTCCTGAAACACCACCTATCCTTCCATTTACTCATTCATCCATCTCACCTGAGAAACCACCCATCCATCCATCCAACCACCCATGCACCCATCCTGCCCCAAACACCACCGGCTCACTCATCCATTCAGTCATCCACCCAATCCATTCATCTATCTCACCTGAGCCAACACTGGTCCATCCCCCCCCCCCATGTCACACCAGCCACTCTCCATCTATCCGTGTCCCCCATGCCAGTTCACCCACACATCAGTCCACCATCCACCCCACCATCATTCCCACTTGCCCACCCATCTACATGCCGAGCCCATTGATCCATCCCCCATTTATCTTTCCAATCCGTGTGAACCAACCACTCAAAATACCCATCCTCCCATTCATCCGTCAACCCAAACCACCACGCTACCCACCCATCCAACTCTCTCTGTCTCCTCCCATCAAACCATCCGTTTATATGTAACTCTCAAAACAGCCACTCGACGCACAGCACCCACCCACTCTGCCCACCCACCATGTTGGTCCACACATATGAACCTTCCATACGCCCATCAACTCACTCCCAACCCATGTACCCATTGGTCCCTCCATTCTTCCACTAACCCCATCTGTCTACCACCATCAGTCCACCCCAGTGCCCCGAATCAAAGCCCTCGCCACCCAACGGCCCATCCCCACCAATGCCCATTCACTGTGGGTGTACTAATCACCCGTTCATTCACCCCAGTCGATTTTCCAGATCATCGGTTCACCCCAATGTCTGATCATGAATACTTTCCGTGCCCACCCAGACCCACCCTCAATTATCCACAGATGCCTCCACCTGCTACTCATCCTCCCTGGATTCTAGCTAGGCGACACAACCCCTTGAAGCCCCCAGACCTTCCCTGTCCTCGCGACACCTCCTGGTATATCCCCTCACCCACACTTCACCCCTGACACCCCCGAATGTCCACAGGATATGGACATGTCCCCCGGACATTCCTGTGATCTCTGGGGCCGGACCTCCCACTTGTTCCCTAACTCGGGGTCTCCCCTCCTGCCCTCACCCTCTGCTCGTGCTGATTTCCCACCACTCATCGGTTGTACCCAGGATCTACTGCTCTCCAGGAGGGTGGCCTCAGATGATGCAGGCCATGGCACTCCCCACCCTGTCCCCATGATATATTGGGAGGATTCCCAACAGGTGTGGACGAACGGCAAGCGTTGTGGCTGTTTGCTGGGGCCGCCTTGCCCCGAGCGGACCCCACGCCCACCCCCACCCCGTCCTTACCGTGCACGAGGTTGATCTCGGAGCCAAGCAGGAGGATCTCGTCGGCCAGGCGCTGAGCGGTGGGCAGCACCTCGGTGTGGTGGGCGCTGATCAGGTACTGCACGAACTTCTGCAGCTGGTCCCGGTTCATCTGCGACAGCGTCTCGGAGATGGGCAGCCGCAGCTCCACCTGGCGCGCGTGCCGGATGCGGTACAGCGACAGGGCCACCACGTGGGCGCAGTAGAAGAGGTCGCGATTGTCGCAGCCGCAGCTCACGGACGTGATCTTGCAGCGATCAAAGCTGATGGAGACGTGGAACAGGCGCTCGGGCTCTCCAGGGCCCCCCGGCTCGCGGATGTTTCCGCTCAGGTGGAACCCTACAACCAACGCCAAACTGTCGCGGCCGTGTCACCTCACGGACAGGCGCGGTGTTTGTCCGCGGTGCACCGCAAGACCCGGATCCAAAGCCCGGCTGAGCAACCTGGCGCGCGAGCCACTTAACCAACCGGAATCGTAGTGAAATCCTCCTCGTGTGGTTGTAATAGGAATTAAATGAGTTAATACTTGGAAAGTGCGTACGATACTGTCCGCATCAACTTAAGTCCCGAGTAAACACTTGTTCTTATTCTAATTATGAATAATGTTATTACAGCCATGATGTTAGAGACGGTTTGCTTGGCCCCTGGGTTACCATGGCTACAGCTAGGGCTTCGGGAGCCCCGTGAACTTCCCCGGCAGATGCCAAAGGCCTGTGACGCTAGCGGATGAGGCGCTGGTTAGGTGGGCCTGGGGCCAGGTGGCCCCTTCACCCCCTGCCTCTCCCTGGCCCCCGGGCAGCCCAGGTGCCAGGCTCATCCAACTGGTTGGGCAGCTCGGGCCCAGCTTGCGTCATGCGGGGGGATGGCTTCCTCATACCGGCTGGAGGTGGCCACAGGCAGCCTGGGGATGGCTGGGCCATGTCCAGGCGAGGGGGTGGATAGGGCCCCCAGAGGGTCATCTTGGCTGAGCCCTGGGAGGTGTGGCTGGCTGCCATAGGCGGTCTAGAGTCCCGCCTCCACTTGTTTCCTGGCGCGACATCTACTAGCCCCTTTCTGAGCCCCGCTGCCTGAGTTCTAAGGCTTTTTTCCCCCCTCTGCCTTAGTCCATCTGGCCCAACCTGGGCTCTGCAACTCTTTCCTTCTGGTTCATAACCTTCCCCCAAGCTCGACTTGGACCTCGCTGCCTGAAGTCTAAGGTCTAGGATCAGTTTTCACCTCCAGCTCTAAATCTTTGCTCCCTACCTTCACCTGGGCCCTGCTGCCTGAGGTCTAAGACCACTCCTCACAGTTGATCCCAACCTTCTTCCTCTATGCTCCCACATAATCCCCCCGCCCCGCCCCCGCCGCTGCCTTAGGTCTGAGACCAGCCCTCAGCGATGGCTCTAAGCCTTTAAAATCCCAACCTTCACCTTAATCCCTCTGCCTGAGGTCTAAAACTGTCTCTCCCCTCAGCTCTAAATCTTTGTGTCCAACTTCCACCTGGGCCCCGCTGCCTGAGGTCTACCATCATTCTTAAAGACAGGGTCTTGCTCTGTCACCCAGGCTGCAGTGCAGTGGCACCATCATAGCTCACTGCAACCTCGAACTCCTGGGCTCAAGCAATCCTCCTGCTTCAGTTGCCTGAGTAGCTAAGACTACAGTTGTGCACCACCACGCCCAGCTAATTAAAAATTTTTGTTTGTAGAGACAGGGTCTTGCTATGCTGCCCAGGCTGGTCTTGAACTCCTGGTCTCAAGCGATCCTCCTGCCTTGGCCTCCTAAAGTGCTGGGATTACACGTGTGAGCCACCAAGCTGGGCCTTAGGAGCATTCTTACCTCTGGCTCCAAACCTCTGACCCAAAGGATCACTGGGTCCCTCTGACTGAGGTCTGGAAGCTCCTCTCCCCCTGCCCAGGCCTCCCTGGAACTGCCCCTCCTCCAGGCCTGCTCTGGACCTCCCAGCCCCCGGGGCAGGGGTGGGGGCAAACACTCACCCACTTGCAGGACACGGTCTACAGCCCCGCTTTGCAGCAGGTGCAGCCCACGGGTGAAGGGCACCCGGGCGTCATGCTCGCCCTCTGGGGGCTGGTAGCCCAGTGATGAGTACATACATATTTCCCGTTCGCTGCGTGGAAATGACCAGAACACGATGCGCTTCTGAACTGGCTCAGGCACCCGGGAGAATCGCTCCTCGACCTGCAGGAAGGGCAGGGGATGGGTTAGAAGCCTGGGTTTCATCGGCTGGGCACAGTGGCTCACGCCTGTAATCCTAGTACTCTGGGAGGCCAAGGCAGGAGGATCGCTTGAGCTCAGGAGTTCGAGATCCTATGACCCCCGTCTCTACTAAAAAAACAAAAAAAAATTAGCCAGGCAACTAAAAATAGAAAAAGTTAGCTGGGTGTGGTGGCGCACACCTGTAGTCTCAGCTACTCGGGAGGCTGAGGCAAGAGGATCGCTTGAGTCCAGGAGTTTGAGGTTGCTGTGAGCTAGGCAGACGCCCCAGCAACAGAGCAAGACTCTGTCTCAAAAAAAAAAAGAAACCTGGGTTTGAATCCTAGCTTTGCCATTTACGAGCAGTGTTACTCTCGACAAGTCACTTGGCCTCTCTGAATCCTGAATCTCAGTTTTCTCAAGGATAAAGTGAGGATATTAACAGTACCCACCTCCTGAGGATTGTGAAGATGAAATATGCATGAATGCATGTAAACAGCTTACAATAACACCTGGCTCACAGTTAGTGTTCTAGAACTTTCTAGGTCCTGGTGTAAGAGCCTCCCAACTCTCAGGCCTTGACAGAACAGGGGAAAGTTAGACAAAAATGATAAGAATAATGATTAAAGTGCACGCTTTCTTAGCTTACACGATGCTAAATGCTTTGGATGTGTGACTTCCCAATTCTCAAAACTACCCATGAGTTGATACTAAATCATTACCCTATTTTACAGCTGGGGGAAATTGAGGCTCAAAGGTGGGGAGAATTCACTTGTTCAGGGGCTCAGAGCTGGCAAATTGTTCCAACTCCCAAGACAGGCATTGTTCCTCAGTTTCCTGTCTGTTGCTCTCCCCTGGGAAGGGTTCCCAGGAATAGAAGGGTGTCCTGGCCACCCCTGTGGGCTCCAGGCAATGAACTGAGCTGGTTAAGCCTGTGTTCCAATCTGAGCTTGCTATTCACTGGCTGGGTGACCTTGGGCTAGTTTCTCAACCTCTCTGTGCCCCAGTTTCCTGAAAGTAGGAACAAGAACAACAACTCTCAAAAGGTTGCAGAGGATTCCATGAGTTTCTGCCGGTCGAAAGCTTTCTTAGCTCCCAGCCTGGCCAGGGGCAGGCACACAGGAGCTCTGGAGAGGGTTTCACAATTATCCTGTTTGGGTCACTCACAATGAAGGGGCAAGGGCCCTCCTTAGTCCCGACTCCTGCCTGCGTTTCTGGGGGAAGCGGAAGGGCCAGTGACCAGCCCAGGCCCTGGGGACAGTTGGCAGATGACTAAGGAGGGATTTTCCAGTACATGAATCAGAGCCTGCCCCATGCACGTTTGGCCCAAATCACCCATCATCCTAGCTGACTTCCTAACTCCGGAGGGGCCAGGGAGCCAAGAACATCCCCCCAAAGCTAGACAGAGGACAGAGCCTAGGGGAGCCACGTGCATCTCCAGCTCCTTGGGGACTCACACTGAGCCTAGGAAAGGGCCTCCAGAAGCCAGGGAGGCAGGGTTGCGGGTGCGGCCCCCCAGGCCCGCCCCTGCTGCCGACAGAAGGGTTAGGGTGGCTGTGGGGAGGGCGGGTAGCGGAGGAGGGCAGAGGGACCCTGGCACTTGAGTAATTCCTGCTGCTACCCAGGAGGGCCTGGCAACCCCCGGTTGGTTGCGGGATCTGTGTGTGGGGGTCCCCAAGGAACAGGTGGGTTCTGGAGGCTTGAGGGCAGGGATGAGAGGGGAAGAAAGGGGTGTCTTGAGCTGGAAGCTGGAGCGATGGGGCGTTTTCGACTTGAGGTGTAAGACTGGGATGTGGAGAAGCAGGAATAGGGGAGCCCGCGTCTCTAGAGGCTAAGATTAGGGGAGATGGGGTGTACCCAAGTGGGGGCGGCTTGTAGGGGCTGGAGAGAGGAGTGGGGATTGAATGGGGGTGCCCTTATTGCGGGGGGATGAGGATGAGGTGGGAAAAGAGGGGTAGCTGGGGTTGGGGGAGGACCCCAAGGGGATTGGGTTCCAGGGATCTGGGGCGGGAGGAGAAGAAGGAAGTGTCCCGAGGTGGGATCTGGGGCGCTGAGGCGCAGGGATGGCAGAGAAGGGATGGGGGGGCGGGTCATAGGGTTCGAAGGACAGAAACGGAAGGATGAGGGGGTGTTTCGGGGCAAGATTAAGGATCTTGCGGCGAGGGTGGAATCGCAGGGGGTGTCTCTGATGGGGGGTTGGTCCGGAGCCCGGGTTAGGCGGAGGGGGGCGCACAGGCCCGGGAAGGAGCTGGGGGTGCGTGCCTCCCCCTCCCCCGCCCTCCCGCGGTCACCTGCTCGAAGGCCCAGCTCTCGGCTACTCGCTTGGCGCTGAGGTCCAGCAGCGCCTCGGGCCGGCCCCGGCCGCGCGCGGCCCCGGCCCCGGCATCGCGTTCCTCCGGTCCCGCGGGGCAGCCCCGGCTCCGCTTGGCCGCTGGGGGGTCCATTCGGCCGGGCCGGGGCCAGGGCGGGGCCTGTTGGGGGGTCCGTCCGATGCCCGCTCCGCTTCAGCGGCTCCCGCGCCCCCTGCCCTCCTTCCCGTCCTTCCTCCGCGCTCGGCCGCCCCGGGACCCCCGCCGCACCCACCCCAGCCCCGCGCCGGGCCGGCCGGGTGATGCGGCCCCTTTAAGACTCTTCACAACAATGAAGCTGCCTTGGTCGCGGCTTTAGCTTCGTCGTCGTCCCGCCTCCGCCGCCCGTCCGCATTGGAACCCCTCTCGGCCTCCGCGGCTCTCCCCGGCCATTGGCTGCGCCATAGGACCTGTCTTCAAGCCTTGGCTGCTCATTCGATTGCCAAGATGCCAGTCTTTTCGCGTTTGTCCAATCAGAGCGCGCAGCGAGCGGCGCTGTCAATCATGGGGCTCCAGAGGCCAATCAGAGCGGGAGGACCCCCGCGGCCCAGGCCTTTTGCGGAGTTTCGGGGCGGGCCCTGGGTTCATTCACAACATTCCTCTCCCGCCCCCTTCGGGCTGGACAGCGCGCCCCGGGCAGCTGGGGCTGCGCCCACACACTGCTTTGTTTACTGAGGGTCGCTTCCGGGCCCCATGAAGGGACAATCAACACAGCCTGGCGGGTGAGCGAGACGGAGCGGCGGGATACCCTGGCAGCGGCTCAGCCCTACCTTCCTCCGGGCTGTGTGACCTGGGAAACTTACTCACCCTCTCTGTGCACCGAGTTTTAATGCTTTGCGGGGCTTAGGCTCATGCGGGCTGCGGACTCCCTCTTCAGAAACAGCGCTCAATCAGTGGGGTCACAGACTATCCGTCATGCCCATCCTTGAGCCTCAAACTAGGAATCCCCCATCCTCTCTGCGCCCTAAATATTTACGTTGTGTCATATGAAATTGCTAATTTTCGACCACGTGTGACCTATTAAAATGGTTATTTCATAAGGTTCAACCTAACACGTATTAAATCCCACCACCTCTGATCATTTTTTCTGACTCACTGGCCTGGAAGCCGGCCATGGTCTTCATCACCGGTCTCCGCCCCCAGTCCCGGCCGATGTCCTCGGAGAACCCTGCCTTTTCCCTTCCTCGTTCTCCTCTGCATTATCGTTTGTTTATCTAGTTCGGGGGTGGTTCATTTCTGTCTCGCCCTCTCAATGGAGAGCGCCACGAAGCAGCAGTTTGGCCCATCGGCGCGTTGCCGTAGCATCAGCACCTGGAACAGCACCTGGCACACAGTAGGCGCTCAATTGATAGCTTGTTGAATGAAAGGATCTGCACCGCAGAAGAAATCCACGCTGGTCCCTAAGTGGCTTGATCGCGCTGCCTCCGTATTGAAACCGCAGCTTTTTCCTGAAGAATCTTCCAATGTCACAGCTGCATTCTCCGGCCAGTCCCCACAACTCCCCCAGACCTGCACCGCCGAGTATGGTCACCGCTGGCCACAGTGGCCTTTGAGCCTTTAAGACGGGACTGGCCTGAATTGGGCTGTACTGTGGAGGTAAAATACACACTGGATTTCAGAGACTTAGTGGGAAAAAAAGAAGCCAAAATATCTCATTAAGAATTTCTTGGAGGCCGGCCGCGGTGGCTCACGCCTGTAATCCTAGCTCTCTGAGAGGCCGAGGCGGGTGGATTGTTCGAGCTCAGGAGTTCAAAACCAGTCTGAGCAAGAGTGAGACCCCGTCTCTACTAAAATTAGAAAGAAATTAATCGGCCAACTAAAAATATATAGAAAAAATTAGCCGGACATGGTGGTGCACGTCTGTAGTCCCAGGTACTCGGGAGGCTGAGGCAGAAGGATCACTTGAGCCCAGGAGTTTGAGGTTGCTGTGAGCTAGGCTGACGCCACAGCACTCACTCTAGCCAGGGCAACACAGTGAGACTCTGTCTCAAAAAAAAAAAAAAAAAAAATTTCTTGGGCCAGGTGCCGTGGCTTACGCCTGTAATCCCAGCACTTTGGGAGGCTGAGGCAGGAGGATCACTTGAGGCCAGGAGTTTGAGATCAGCCTGAACAACATAGTGAGACCCCAGTCTCTACAAAAAATAAGAAAAATAGCTGGGCACGGTGGTGTGTGCCTGTAGTCCCAGCTACTGGGGAAGCTAAACCAGGAGGATCACTTGAGCCCAGGAGCTGGAAGGTGCAATGAGCTGTGCTTGCAGGACTGCATTTCAGCTGGGGCAACAGAGTGAGACTCTGTCTCCAAAAAAATAAAAAAATAAAAAATTTGAAATAAATTATTTTTAAAAAAGAATTATTTCTTATATTGCCAGGTGTGGTGGCTCACACCTGTAGTCCCAGTGATTCAGGAGGATCGCTTGAGGCCAGGAGTTGGAGACCAGCCTGGGCAACATAGGGAGACCCCTATCTCTAAAAAAAAAAAGAATTTTTTGTATTGATTACATGTTGAAATTATATTTTAGAAAAGTTTAGGTTGAATAAAATACATCACTAAAATTGATTTCACCTGTTTCCTTTTATTTTATATGGTATCAGGACATTTAAAAATGACATAAATGACTTGTATTGTATTACCCAGACAGCGTTGGTCTTGAGAAACCACAGCCTGTCACAATGACGACAGAAACAGCATTAATAAGAATGTCCTGACTGCTTATGCAATGCCTTCGTTGTGCAGATATCTGATCAAGTTTCAGCCTTCTCACAGTGCTGCAAAATGGGGATTGTCACCCCTATTTCTGAGATGAGGAAACTGAGGCTTGGAGGGGTTCGGCTACTTGCTTGAGGTCACCTAGCAGTAACAGTCTGACTGCTGGAGGCAGCTGGGGCCGCCCTGGAGCCCTAAACTTACCGAAGCGTCTCTTTCTTGCAAGGGATTTGGGGCAGAGACAGACCTATGGGGGAAGGAGTAGCTGGGGTTGGAGAAGCAGGGAAGACTTAAAGCAAAGAATATCTACCAGGTGCTCCCCTTACAAACAGGACACAAGGGCGGGCTTTTCCCAGCTGTCCTCTTTAGCATCTGGTACATGGCCGTGTCAGCTAAGTCAAGGTCCTTGCCTTTGAGAAGGCTGCGTGTCCCCAAGTGGGTGTCCAGACATGCTGAGTAGGAGAAGTCACTCTAGGCCAGAGGGTGGATTTTAGGATGAACAGAGAATGGGGTATCACAGGGTGAGGATGTTTTATTTTATTTTCGTAACAATAGATACTAATATTGCCACTACCCCCATCTCGCAGATGAGAAAACTGAAGCAAAGAAAGTTCATGTCACTTGCCCAAGCTCCATGACAGGAAACGGTAGGGCCTGCACAGAGTTTGGGTAGGAGGAACATTTTGTTTCCATCCCTTGATTTGACAGCTGAGGGAAATGAGGCCCAGAGAGGGTTGGGAAGCTGCCCAAAGCCTCACAGCGATCCTGAGAGAATGTGGGAGGTCAGAGAGGCCCCCAGGAGGCTGGGGGTGTCCTCAGATGAAGTCTCTAGGCCGATGTCAAGGTGCCCCCCACTTCCTAGCAATGCTTTTAGGAAAGGACAGTTGGAGGGGGCGTCCTTCCTTCTTGGTGGAGCCAGCAAGCTTGGGCTGCAGGGAAATGGAAGCCACATTTATTCCACCCACCCGCTCGGTGTGAGCTCACTGTCTAGGCATTTGCAGCGCCTCGCTTGAAACCCATGTGTGCTCTCGATCCATGGTAAATAGGGCTACCCTGGAGGCTCAGATGAGCAAAGGGACATGGCCCCCCAGCTATGTGGACACCCCTCAACTTTCTGGGAGTCCTTCCCTTCTGCCAGGCCCCTGCAGCGCCCCTTCCCTCTGTTGACTCAGGCAGGAAACCAGCTGGGTGGCTCTGGAGTGCTTCCTGGTTCTGAGGACGCAGCCCCTCGGGCCTGCCCAGCTGGCAAGAGTTCCTTGTTACGTTTCTTTTCTTCCTTTTCGAAACACAAGTTCAAGGGCAAAGTGTCAGGACCCTGCCAGAGGAGTAGGCATTTCGGGCCCCCGGGGAAGATGAAAGCAAGAGAGGAAAAGGCTTCGACAAGAATACGAGAATAAATAAAATACATTTATTTATTATTTATTTATTTATTTAAAAAATCTTGCTCTGTCACCCGGGCTGGAGTGTAGTGGCATGATCATAGCTCACTATAACCTTAAACTTCTGGGCCTAAGTGATCCTCCTGCCTCAGCACCCCCAGTAGCTAGGACTACAGTGTGCACTATCATGCTCGGCTAATTTTTAAATTTTTTTGTAGAGACAGGGTCTCACTATGTGGCTCAGGCTGGTCTCGAACTCCTGGCCTCAAGCTATCTTCCTGCCTTGGCCTCCCAAAGTGCTGGGACTATAGGAATGTGGGAGCCACTGTGCTCCTCCAAAAAGCTACATTTAGTGCCACCCTGGCCCTGGGGGAGAGGAGCAGGGGACAGGTAGAGAGATGTCAGGTGGGCAGCTGGACTTGGGCTTCCACCTCCCTGCCCCAGCACAGAAGGCAGGTCACAGTCACACCGGTGAGTCGCACGTCCTTTCGGCTCCTGATTTCTCCACACTGAGGGTGTGTGTGGGAGTGTCAGGATCCCCATTTAACAGATGGGGAAACTGAGGCTCCGAGAGGTGAACAGACCCGCTGAAGGTCACACAGCCCGGAAGTGGCAGAACCTGGCATAGAACTCTTGGTGTGGGTTTTTTCTGCAGTCTGGGGCTCTCGGAAGCAGGTGGAAGGGACCCAGAAGCACAGCAGGGAAATATCGCCCGGGAAGTGCAGGGAAACTGAGGCTGTTTGGAGATGGGGGAAGGGGGAACGGGTGAGTGGACATCCCAGCCCCCATACCTGTAGCACCTGAAAACCCTCCTTGCCCCTGGGGTCTTCCTCAAAGGGGGCTGGTGTCACAGGCACAAAAGGAACCCATTGGCAGGATTCCTTGGTTCGTCCGGGCGCCGCCAGCCTGTAGGGGGGCTTGGCCCGGGTCAGAGGCGCCTCCTGGTGGCCGCGTCCAGTGCCAGATGGCACCCAGAACCCACCCCGCCCTGGGGCTCGCCTTTCTGAGTTCGCAGATCAAAAAATGAAAAGATAATTTTAAAAAGAGGGTGAAATCGCCACTCTCCTAACATATCACAATAAACACGTGTTAAAATTTTCATTTCACTGATGCAGGAACAAGCAGATGTTCTAAATGGTTCAAAAGACAGTCTGCAAAACACACTTGCGGATCAGCCTGTTCCAGGAAATGTGTGAATGGCGGCAAATGGGCTTTTCGCAGGGGGACGGGGATCGTCAATTGAACCTTGGCTAGACGGGCTGGCCATTTGCACGTCTGGAGATAAGAATTATTCAGTTTGTATTGCTAGCAGTTGTAACACAGTTCAAAGACAGTATGAATCAGGTACCCGGGAAGGGTGTGTTGTGTGTAGATGATGCATTATTGGAGGATCTATTGAAGGACCATAACGGATTGACTGAGACGCAAGATTTCCCCGGCAGAAAGAAGAAACCATTCATTTCTTCCTTCATTCAACAAACACCTGCTCACCCAGTGCGTATTGTGCGCTGTTCTAGGTGCTGGAGACACACAGGCCAGGAACGAAACAAAGACCCGCACTTGAGAAGCGAAGCAGAGACAGAAAGTAGCACACAGTGACTGCAACTGAATAGGCCCCGTCTAGGGCTGGGGGATGGGACGGGGAAGGCTTCTAGGAGAAGGTGGTGTCTGGGGAAGGGCAGTGGGGGCAGGGAACTGCCAAGTGCAAAGGCCAGGAGGCAGGGCAGGGAGAAAGGGAGCAGGAAGGGGACGCAGGCTCGCTGCTGTTTTCTGCTCTCACTGGAGTGTCTGTTCCTAGCTCTGCCTAGCCCGGAGGTCGGCACAAAACGGTCACAATAAATGCTGACTGAGCAAACCGGCCCCATCTCAAAGGGTGTAAGTCGCTCACTGACTGAGGTGGGCTAGAGGGCCCAGGTCCCCTAGGTGGGGCTCAAGGGTGTGTCCTGGGGGTCACACAGCCAACCCCCAGCCCTCCAGCCAGAAAGAGGGAAGGGAAAGCTCCCCGCTGCCCCCCAGTCTGGGGTCTGGATCTCATCCTCCACCCGCTTCCCACCCCACAGAAACCCTGAGGGCCGCCGGGTCTTCACAGAGCCACAGGGAACCCCAGATGGACAGTCTTGTTCTGCTGCCACGATTCGCAATTTTTCCAGATGTTAAGTTAGGACTTTTTGGTGAAATTTCTCTCCCCCTCCCCTTTTTTTCTTGGTGGCAAGGTTCACATGAAATTCATTATCTTAAAGTGTACAGTTCAGTGGCATTTAGTACAATCGCAGTATTGTGTAATTACTCCTAGTTCTAGAATGTTTTCATGTCCCCAAAAAGAAATCGTGTCCCTGTTAGCAGTCACTCCCCACTCCTCCCTACCCACAGCCCTGGGTAACCACTAATTTGCCGTCTACGGATTTGCCTGTTCTGGATGTTTCGCATCAATGGAGTCACACACGAGGCCTTTGGCGTCTGGCTTCTCTCAGCACAGTCTCTCTGCGGCTCATCCGCGTGGCAGCGCGGGTCAGGGCTTCGTGCCTTTTAAGGGCCGACTGATATTCCACTGCACGGAGATACCGAGTTTGTTCATCCAGTCATCTGCGGATGGGCGTTTGGGTCGTTTCCACCTTCTAGCGATTGGGAACGGTGCTGTCACGGACACGCGTGTACAAGTCTGCGCGAACACCGGTTCTCTGTTCTTTTGGGTAGACGCCTAGGAGCGGAATTGCTGGGTCACGTGGTAATTCTATGAGGAACTCATTGAAGAATTGTCAGGACTGTTTTCCCTGCTTTAAAAAAAAAATGTTGGCAGTTCAGTGACCACCACTGTGTGGGACCAAGGAAACACTCGGGATGCAGTTTGGGGTCAGCTGCTGGTGACCCAACACCCCTGTCTTCTTGGTGGGTGAGGGAGCTGGGAAAGGATGGGTCACTAGAAAACCAGTCACTCTTGTCTTGGGTGAGCGCCAACTGTGCCTATAAGCACCAGCCCCCAAAGATAGCAGTTTGGTGTCACCTGACTATAGCCTATCTGCCGCCGTGCTGTGACCGGGGTCCAGCTCAGGCCAGAGCTCCCAGCAGATTCCACGGGCACCGTCCAGTTCAGACCTGAACAATTTGGGGTTAGGAGAGCCCCTGGGATGGGCAGGAGAGAATCTTGGGCTGGAAGGAGGGAGAGGCCGCGGGTGGCCAGCTGAGAGCATGGATCAGGACTCTACCAGCTTTGGGTTCGAGTCTCAGCTGTGGAATGTCACACACAATCTACCCTGGGTGTCCTGCTGGTTTCGGTGACTTGTGGAAAGCACTAGAACTGTGCCTGGCCCGTACACAGCATCCAATGCTGGCTGCTTTTTCTTTTGAGGCAGAGTCTCACTCTGTTGCCCTGAGTGCCATGGTGCCAGCCCAGCTCACAGCAACCTCAAACTCCTGGGCTCAAACGATCCTCCTGCCTCGGTCTCCCAAGCAGCTAGGACTATAGGTGCTACCACGTTCAGCTAATTTTTCTGTTTTTAGTAGAGACAGGGTCTCACTCTTGCTCAGGTTGGTCTTGAACTCCCGACCTCAAGTGATCCTCCCACCTCGGCCTCCCGGAGTGCTAGGATTACAAGCGTGAGCCACCTCACCTGGCCTTTTTTTTTTTTTTTTTTTACAGTCGGCACTGTGTAGTTTCTGACTGCACTCTGGTTTACTCAGTACCATGACCCTATGAGGTGGCACCCGACCTACAGATGTCCAGCTCGTCCCTGGTTGTGTCCCCAGTGCAGGTGAGCAAGCAGACTGGACCGAGTCACCCAGGGTCAGAGGGAGGAAAGACCCCTGTCCAGCTCCCAGGCTCTGGGATGGAGGCACAGAAGCCCAGCTGTCCTTCCCTGGACACATGGCTGCTGGGGACGGTGGGACAGGGCAGGACAGGTCTCTCAGGGAGACCGGTAGGCTCACCTGGCCCTGGCCCTGGCCTGCTCACAGAACCACGGGACCACAGGAGGAACAAAACCAGGTTTATTGCTCTGGGTTAAACCAGTGGAGACAGGACCAGAGCAAGGGGACCTAGGAAGTTGGTGACCATATGATCCTGGCCATCACTGGGTTCTTGGGCACCCTGGATCTGCACATCACTGGCTCACGGGTCGGGCCCCCACCAAAGTTCTAGGTGTAGCCTAGTGCTGGGAGACAGGGTCCTCTTCCCCATGGTGCAGCCATGGGGTCATGCGCAAGGTCCGAGCGTGGAGGTGGGGGCTGCAGTGTTGACCTCTGCTGGGGCTCGTGTCCTTAGGAAGTCGTCTTATTGGAGGAGGAGGAGGAGGCAGCTGCCCCCTTCTTTTTGGCTGGGGACTTCAGCAGGGCCAGCTTCCTGGGCAGGCTGGTGCTGGCTTTCATCACCACGTCATGTTCGATCTTCTTCCGGATCCCAACTTCCAGGTTCTGAGGGGCGACCGCAGGGCAGTCAGACTGGGGCCCGAGGTGGAGGGAGGGCCTGACCACTTGGCCTCTCCCTTACCGAGGCTCACAGGGGGCTGGATCCAGAACTATCTGCTCAAACAACACCTGACAGGGGGTCTAGAGGTAGGGGTTTCAGCCCTGCTTTTGCCCGGCACTCTCTGGGGCCTCAACACAAAGAAACCCTTCTCATCTTCGTACCTTAGATCTGCTTATGCCCATTTTACAGATGGGGAAACTGAGGCTCCCGTAGCAAGGAGATACGTGTCCAGGGTCCCCAAACCACATGGGTGATGGGGACTAGGGCCTGGTGTGCCCACAGCCTCTGGTCCCAGGCTTTAGGTGGATGGCCTCCTCCTGTCCCATGTCATCTCTGCTTTGCAGATGGCGAGCTGGGGGTCTGAGGGGTGGGTACGGGAGCCAAGCAAAGGCACAGGGATGGAGCAAAACCAAGTGTGTGAGTCCAAAACTGGTAGCTCAGTCACCTTCGCCAAACTGCCTGCGAGTCTCAAAGGCCATGAGCACCACCACTGGAGGAGCTAACCATGGGCCTGGGTGCAGGGGACATGGAGCCAGCACTTGGAGTGTGTGGGGACAACATAAACGTCAGTGACACAATACGTTCAACTTTAAAGGATGTTCTTTACGCTGTTAAAGGATGGTAAGCTCTGCTACGGAGAAAAGGAGGCAGGGGTGAGGAGTGAGGGGTGGGGACCGCCATCAGGGCAGGCTTCTTGGAAGCGAGTTGGAGGAAGGGAGCTGTGTGGATTTCCTGGAGAGGTGCACACGTTCTGAGGCAAGACAAGGAGCTGGTAAGGGGCCAGGAGGGCTGGAGGGAGCAAGTTGGGGGAGGGTGGAACGAGATGAGGGCAGATTGTGCAGGGGCTTGTGGCTGGGTGAGGACTTTGGCTTTTCCCGACTGAGGCGGGAACCATGGAGGGTTCTGAGCAGAGGAGGGACGGGACCCCACTCAGGTGCTCATGGCTGCCCTCTGGCTGCTATGGGAGGAGAGACTGGGAGCAGGGAGACCAGGGAGGAGGTGACCGCACTGCACTGGCCTGTACCGGAGATGAGGTTAGGAAGTCGGTAGATTCAGGACTACCTCTGAAAGCAAAATGGACGGGATTTGACCTGGGTGTGAGAGAAAGGGGGGGATTCAAGGATGACCCCAGCACCTGCAAGGACAGATCGTCCTGAAGAGAGACTACAAGGGGGTATGCGGAAGCGCGGATTAGGAGCTTGGTTTTGGATGTGATGAGTCTGAGGTGCCAATGAGACACCCCCACCCCAACCCCAGGACCCTGGAGCTAAGCAGACTGCTTGGTACCCAGTTCTGAGAAAACCGATCCTCTGTGGAGACTAACCGGTTTCCTCAAGATCACAAGGATGCTTAATGTGGAGTTCAACTGAAACCCAGGTCTGACTCCATCAAAACCACAGCTGTAAATCTCTTTCCAACTTCTCTATAAGCTCAACCCTACCCACCGATGTGAGAAAGCTGCACTTAAAAGACAACCGGAAAAATGAGAACGACAACCAAGGCACCTCACACTTCGGAGCTCTGCGCTGCTCTCAGAGCTTTACGGCGCTCTATCACCCGGAATCCTTACAACTCTAGGAAGAAGGGGCTCTCAGTCTGGCCACTTCACAGGGAAAAGGCTCAGGATAAAGAATTGCTACTCATTCAAGAAGCTGAGATGTGCAGCCAGCCCTGCGTTCTTACAAAGCTGGGTTTTCAACTCCCTGCCCATTCCACCTCCCTTCCTCGGTTCCATTAAAGAGAACAGTAATAGCAAGACCAGCTGACGTTTTTCTGAACGTGCTCCAGGCCTTGCTTCTATGAGGCTCCGTTGAATGGCAAGTGGTGTTCCTGTACCCGCTGTACAGGGGAGAAAAGGGAGGCTCCCAGAGCTGGGAGTCCTCCAAGCTCCATCCCCGGCCCCTCGCCGGCCCCCGGGTCCCATCCCCGGCCCCTCGCCGGCCCCCGGGTCCCATCCCCGGCCCCTCGCCGGCCCCCGGGTCCCATCCCCGGCCCCTCGCCGGCCCACGGGTCCCATCCCCGGCCCCTCGCCGCCCCCGGGTCCCATCTCTGGCCCCCGCACACCTTCTTGAGCTTTTGCTGCTGCACGATGCGCGCCTTCTTGGGAGCGATAACACGACCTGGGGAGAGACGCGTTCGCGTAAGGCCGGGAAGCCCCAGGCCCACCTCGCGCCCCAGCCCCCGGCCCGCTCCTCACCGCCTTTCTTCGGGCCTCGGTTCCGCTCAGAGGCCGCCGCTGCAGTCTTGCTCTTCGCCGGCTTGTGCGCCTGGAACTTGCGCTGCCCCTGCGCCATGTTCACGCACGCACCGGAAGAGGCGGGGCTGTGAGCAATCGTAGCCGGGAGACGCAAAGCACCATGGGATACAGCGGGGCGGAGGGCGCAAGGGATCACGGGACACGATGTGGCACATAGTAAAGGGACCATATATCACAAAGGTAGGCAATCATAACCAGCATTTTGCAAAACTTTCAGACGAAAGGGGACAATGATAAGCTAACATTTATGGCTTATGTGTTTTATAAAACATGCTATTTTATGCCCTTTATACATGAGACTAGGATTAGAGTGTATAAAACTTACTTTTATGCTCTTTATACATAAAATCTGAGGCTAGGATTAGGGTGAGGAAAGTTGCGCTCATCTCTGCTGCAAAATTTCATGGGAGGCCACAAACGTCAGTATGCAAGATAAACAACATTTTCAAGATTTGTATTTTTCATCATGGATTTTTTTGCGTTAATTGATTTTTAAAAAAATACTGCTTTGCCGGGCGCGGTGGCTCATGGTTGTAATCACAGCACTTTGGGGGGGCTGAGGTGGGAGAATTGCTTGAGGCCAGAAGTTCGAGACCAGCCTCGCCAACATAGCAAGATGCTATCTCTACCAAATAAGAAAAATTAGCTGGGCGTGGTGGCGCACGCCTGTAGTCCCAGCTACTCGGGAGGCTGAGGCAAAAAAACAAAAAACAAATTGCTTTAAAATATTATTTATCTTGGTTACTGAGCTTTTTGCACCCAACTTGACAGCCTAGTTCCAGCTCTGAGAGCAAGCTTAAGAGGGAGCTACTAGTATTATCTCCATTTTATAAATAAGGAGACCAAGGCACAGAGAGGTGAAGTGACTTGCTTAAAATGACACAGTGGAAAAAGTGGCAGAGCTGGGATTTGAACCTGGACAGCCTGCCTCTGGCTACTGGGCTCTTAAGAGCTATGCAAGGCCCTGTCTGATCTCCCTGCTCTAGGAAGGAGTGTGGTTGAGGGCAGGAAGGTCAGCTTTTGGACAGGCCATTCAAAAAATTTATTATAAAACCTGAGGGCTGGGGGCTGGGTAGGGAGAGCGGAGTTGGTTACAACTGGGGTCCACCTAAGGTCCCTCCCCCTGAGGAGATGGTGGTTGTTAGGGCTGCCTGCAGCTCCTTGGGGGCAAAGACCCCCAGCTCTGTGATGATGCCACCGGTGATGAGGTCGTGGGGGGTGACATCGAAGGCGGGATTCCAAACCCCAATCCCTGCAGGGGAAAGAGGGCAGGCAATGAGGCTGGGATTTGACTCTGTGAAAATTCTCAAGCTGTTGTCACCTGCCTCCATCCACCACAGTGGTTCTTGGGGTTCCCCCAAGAATCTGGGGATCCTCACGCCAAAAAGTATACAAGGCATGGACACTACCCAGTTAACAAGTTTAGACTTCCAACCACTCCCGGAATGTCACTGCCCAAGAAGAAACCAAAGTCTCACATACATCTACCCGACTTCTGTCTGTCTGCTTTAAGCAT